ACTGGGCACACGCATGGCAGGGTTGAGGACAGAGGGGTACAGCCAGCCCTCTCTACTGGACCAGGTCCCCACTGGGTCAGCAGGGTGGTCTGGATTCGGCTGGAAGCCAGAGTGAGTCTGATTGGTCAGGAGGTGCTGTCCGTCAGATTAGCGATGGCCCAACCCCAGCTTGCAATGTGGGTAGGGGAGAGCATCCAGGACTAGCAGAGCGGAACCAGGAATAGGAGTGTGGGAAGGGCCCCTAGTCTCTGGCATTAAAGGAGAACTGTGCAAGGGTTCCTCAACCTTCTTTCACTCAAGGCACCCTGAAAAATTATGTACAGTCCCAAGGCACCCTTAAAAATTATGGGCAGCCTTGAAGCACCCCATTCTAAGATGGGGTGCTTCAAGACTGTCCATAATTTTAAAAGGGCCCCCCATACTCAGTGTGAAACGGTTTATATAACGCAGCAACGTCCATACATGGAGGACACCCAACATTAGAGGGTATTTATTGTTCCAAAGCAGATACACTTTTGCACCCTGGTACTGACTAGTATTCCAGTGTTCCTCTCCTCCCTCAGTTGCACCCTGGTACTTACTAGTATTCCAGTGTTTCTCTCCTCCCTCAGTTGCACCCTGGTACTGACTAGTATTCCCTCAGTTGTTCCTCTCCTCCTCCCTTAGTTGCACCCTGGTACTGACTAGTATTCCAGTGTTTCTCTTCTCCCTCAGTTGCACACTCTGGTACTGACTAGTATTCCAGTGTTTCTCTTCTCCCTCAGTTACACTCTGGTACTGACTAGTATTTTTTCTCTTCTCCCTCAGTCGCACCCTGGTATTGACTAGTATTCCAGTGTTTCTCCTCTCCCTCAGTTGCACCCTGGTACCGACTAGTATTGCAGTGTTTCTCTTCTCCCTCAGTTACACTCTGGTACTGACTAGTATTCCAGTGTTTCTCTTCTCCCTCAGTCGCACCCTGGTATTGACTAGTATTCCAGTGTTTCTCCTCTCCCTCAGTTGCACCCTGGTACCGACTAGTATTGCAGTGTTTCTCTTCTCCCTCAGTTGCAACCTGGTACTGACTAGTATTCCAGTGTTTCTCTTCTCCCTCAGTTGCACACTGGTACTGACTAGTTTTGGGCCATTTTTAGACATTTTGCCAAGGCACCCATGAAGCAACCTCAAGGCACCCCACAGTGCCTGGCACCCTGGTTGAGAGAGGCTCTTTCAGGCCAATATTTCTGCCTCTGCTTACTACTGCCGTACTTGACACATCCAGATGGCTACTATTTCTTGTGGAAAAGGCGGCAGCAGTCTACCCTTCCTCAGTGACCCATGTAATCTGATATCCTGCCATTGATGCTCACAATAAAGTCAGTCCAGGGGACATACAGCATATTAGGTCATGGGCAGAAGAATACACATGTTCAAAACCCAGGCACCCCATGGGTGGAGGCCAAAGGTAAAAAAAAGAAAAGAAAAAAACACAAAGACTGGACAATAGAATCATACAGGCATACAGAGTAAGGCACAAGGAGCATCAAAGGGGTATCCTGCCCAATGTGGGGGGGGGGGGGCAGGGGGTTCCTTGAGGACCAACTTTAATGGAGTGCATCAAAATCTTTAAGCATCAGCTGGTGGGGCCGGAGAAGGATCGTCCAGCCAACATGACCAGACTTTTTGAAATTTCCTTGGACAACCTCTGTTGCAATAAGTAGCTTGGTACAGAGGTAAACTAGAGTGCACCAGTTGCATGATTTTTGCCGGCACATTGTAATCGCCTTCCCGGGACAGAACAGTAATAGACTTATGAGTATCCATACCACCTCTGTGTTGGCAAGTTCCTCTGCTAGGCCCAGCAACCAGGAGCTAGGAGTACAGGGGGGATGTAGGTGAGTGGTGGAGATGATAGCACATCCTTCCAGGATAAAGTGATGGCCGGTCCAGAATATGTGGAAGAAATCTCCCGTTGGGTGTGTCCATCTCCAATAGGCTGAGGAGATGTCCTGGCTGAGGAGACATCCTGGTTCATTCTGTGGAACCTGCATGGGGTAAAGTCGGCTCAGTGGGGGATTGGATTGGATGAGCTTGTCTCTGGCGGACACTAGGTAAGTAAAAGGAAAATCCCGTATCTCAGACCAATCATCCTCATCCTGGTCATGGACATCAGATCCAATGAGGAGACATCCTGGTTCATTCTGCGGAGCCTGCATGGGGTAAAGTCAGCTCGGGGAGGGGATTGGATTGTATGAGCTTGTCCCTGGTGGACACTAGGTGATTAAAAGGAAAGTACCATATCTCAGACCAATCGTCCTCATCCTGGTCATGGACATCAGACCCAATGGGGAGACATCCTGGCTGAGGAGACATCCTGGTTCATTCTGTGGAGCCTGCATGGGGTATTGTTGGCGCGGGGGTGGGGGGGGGAGATTGGATTGGATGAGCCTGACCCTGGCTGACACTAGGTGAGTAAAAGGAAAGTCCCATATCTCAGACCAATCGTCCTCATCCTGGTCATGGACATCAGACCCAATGGGGAGACATCCTGGCTGAGGAGACATCCTGGTTCATTCTGTGGAGCCTGCATGGGGTATTGTTGGCGCGGGTGGGGGGGGGGGGAGATTGGATTGGATGAGCCTGACCCTGGCTGACACTAGGTGAGTAAAAGGAAAGTCCCATATCTCAGACCAATCGTCCTCATCCTGGTCATGGACATCAGATCCAATGAGGAGACATCCTGGTTCATCCTGTGGAGCCTGCATGGGGTAAAGTCGGCTCAGTGGGGGATTGGATTGGATGAGCTTGTCTCTGGCGGACACTAGGTGAGTAAAAGGAAAATCCCGTATCTCAGACCAATCGTCCTCATCCTGGTCATGGACATCAGATCCAATGAGGAGACATCCTGGTTCATTCTGCGGAGCCTGCATGGGTAAAAGTCAGCTCGGGGAGGGGATTGGATTGTATGAGCTTGTCCCTGGTGGACACTAGGTGATTAAAAGGAAAGTTCCGTATCTCAGACCAATCGTCCTCATCCTGGTCATGGACATCAGATCCAATGAGGAGACATCCTGGTTCATTCTGCGGAGCCTGCATGGGGTAAAGTCAGCTCGGGGAGGGGATTGGATTGTATGAGCTTGTCCCTGGTGGACACTAGGTGATTAAAAGGAAAGTACCATATCTCAGACCAATCGTCCTCATCCTGGTCATGGACATCAGACCCAATGGGGAGACATCCTGGCTGAGGAGACATCCTGGTTCATTCTGTGGAGCTGCATGGGGTATTGTTGGCGCGGGTGGGGGGGGGGGGGGGGGGGGGGAGATTGGATTGGATGAGCCTGACCCTGGCTGACACTAGGTGAGTAAAGGAAAGTCCCATATCTCAGACCAATCGTCCTCATCCTGGTCATGGACATCAGACCCAATGGGGAGACATCCTGGCTGAGGAGACATCCTGGTTCATTCTGTGGAGCCTGCATGGGGTATTGTTGGCGCGGGTGGGGGGGGGGGAGATTGGATTGGATGAGCCTGACCCTGGCTGACACTAGGTGAGTAAAAGGAAAGTCCCATATCTCAGACCAATCGTCCTCATCCTGGTCATGGACATCAGTTCCAATGAGGAGACATCCTGGTTTCATCCTGTGGAGCCTGCATGGGGTAAAGTCGGCTCAGTGGGGGATTGGATTGGATGAGCTTGTCCCTGGCAGACACTAGGTGAGTAAAAGGAAAGTCCCGTATATCAGACCAATTGTCCTCATCCTGGTCATGGACATCAGATTCAATGAAGAGAACTCAGGGATGGCCAACATAATGAGGTATTAATTCAATACTGAGGTAGGTTTTTACCATGACAGGCGCTAGAAATGTGCGGTTTTTCGTTTAATTCAGAATTGAAATTCAGACGAATTTGTCGTTATTCGAATGTATTGAATTTCTCAATTACAACGGTACCGAATATGAACAAATCTGCAATAATGATACAAAATCGAATTTGAAAACAAGAATAGAATAAAATAGAAGAGAAAATAAAGGATTTTAAATTTTTTTTAATGGTTGAACTGGATGAACGTTTGTCTTTTTTTGGCCAGACTAACTATGTAACCAGGGGTGGACTAACCATTTGGAAACTCGGGCACTGCCCGAGGGCCCGGGGTCATTAGGGGGCCCCATGAGATGCCCCTGGTACCTTTCTTAGGCT